TACAATTGTATACCTTTTTCTACATCTATCATCACTCCATTTCCCTCATGTCTCTGTATTAAGCTAGACAATTTCCTTGGACAAATATTATATAGCATGTTATCTTTTTTATTTACCCTTTAGTCTACATACACGATTAATACATCACTACTGTTACTTAACACTAAGAAACATTCCTTCTACCACAGTGATACTGCCTTTTCCTTAATTACCAATGACCACCAATAGTTAATCCAAAAATTATCACTAATTTTTCTGTAGCCAGTAATCATCCTTCTGCTTCTTAGAACTTTTTGTTTCTTTGACAACACTCTCCCAATTCTCCTTCTGTCTCACAGCCTGTTCAATTCAGCTTCCTTTACCAAATCTACTTCCTCCTCCTGCTATAGAAACAGTCCCAAGGTTCTGCCCTTGGCCCTCAAAATTCCCACTGCAATCCCTTCCCCCGTGATTTAATTTAATTTACTTCCATGGTTTCCCTACCTCTATCTCCAGCTCTGGCCTCTAATAAGCTCTAGATTGTTTACTTTCAACTGATTACATTCCACAAGGATATCCCACCTAAAACGCCAAATGTAGCACATCCATCATGTCCTCAATCTGTTGATCATCCTGTTACTCATTCTCTGTATTCCCTCTGTCACTGTCTCCTCCCACCTACACACATGCATACTTCCTCCCACCCTCCCCCAACACCTCTTTTCATGAGCACTCGTCTTGGGTCCAGGCACTATGTTAAATGCTTCACACATGTTCAACGTTTTTCAGTCCTCTCAAAGTATGCTGAAGAAAGTAGGCATCCCCATTTTAAGATGATGAAACCCAAACAGAGAGATTAAGTCATGTGTCACATAGCTAATAAGTAAGTAAAGTTGGGTTTCAAACCAATCAGTCTGATTTCAAAGACAAAAACACTATATTATCTCCAGTTGCCCAGGCCTGCTACCTCCCCACAGACAGGCACTATGCACTCGATCCTGTGACCCCTAGGATCCTTCCATTTGGTCTTCTTTTCCATTCTCACTGATACTACACCATAGTCATCAGTGCCACTTACCTTTTCTTAGCTTCCCATCTCTCCTTATTTTATTATTCACCTATTACTCTCTTGTTCAGAAACCATGAGTGGCTCACAGCTACCCACTGTGTACAGGAAAAAGTCAAAATTCTCCAGCCTTGTCCACCACTCTCTTCTTCAATGTCATCATGTTCCACTTAGATAGGACATGTGGCATTCTTCTGTGACTGCCCAGCATCTAACTCCCTTTTTAAAAAAATTGTTTATTTAGTTGTCGATGAACACACAGTCTCTTTATTTATTTTTATATGATGCTGGGGATTGAACCCATACGAGGCAAGCACTTTAACTCTGAGCTATAGCCTCCGCCCCCTAACTCCCTTCTTAAGCCTTGGGAATTCCCTACCTCCACAAAGTAGAAGCTGAAAATACAAATGCGCCCTTTCTGAGAGTAACTAAGAACAGAGTAGGGTCGAAGAGCATGAGAAGAAGATTAACATTAAACAGGGATGAGAGGTGGGAGGGAAAGGGAGAGAGAAGGGAAAATGCATGGAAATGGAAGGAGACCCTCAGAGTTATACAAAAGTACATACAAGAGGAAGTGAGGGGAAGGGGAAAAATAATATAAGGGGGACAAACGAATGTCAGTAGAGGGGGCAGAGAGAGAAGAGGGGAGGGGAGGGGAGGGGAGGGGAGGGGAGGGGAGGGGAGGGGAGGGGAGGGGGGATAGTAGAGGATAGGAAAGGCAGCAGAATACAACAGACACTAGTATGGCAATATGTAAATCAATGGATGTGTAACTGATGTGATTCTGCAATCTGTATATCGGGTAAAAATGGGAGCTCATAACCCACTTGAATCAAATTGTGAAATATGATATATCAAGAACTATGTAATGTTTTGAACAGCCAACAATAAAAAATTAAAAAAAAAAAAAAAAAAAAAACAAATGCGCCCTTTCCAAGCCTCCTTTGTAGCTAGCACTAGTGCTTCACCAAGGCCACACCAATTAGATGCATCATGCCTGATTCTGAATTTAGACAGGATTCTATGGAGAACTCTCCCTGGTAGCAGGAGCTATGTGAGTTCCTGGGCAGCACAGTGTCCAGGCCAGAGGTATTCCACAGTTCAAGTGTAATACCTGCCCTCTGGTGGCTGCAGCCATTTTCCTGTGGCTCTTCATTGGAGTAACTGGTACAAACTAGGCTACATAGCCTCTGCACCCGATTTTTCAGTCATCATGATGTTCTATGAGCTACCCACAGTATCCTTTTAAAAAAGAAAAAAAAAATTATTTTAAATTGTACTAAATATAAGTGTTCTTTGACACCCACATACCAAATTATAGGTATTCAAAATTTACACACATTGATTAATGTTGGTTGGTTTCCTTGGGAAGGAGACTGTGGTACAGACTTTGGGGTGACAAATTTATTGAAAGGGATCAGCATCCTTTTTAAAAAATATTTTATTTTTGGCTTACATCAGCCAAGTTGGCTGTTTCCAAGTAAGCATATTCACTGGCAATTCACTCATACTGGGTATCTTGCCCATTTCAAACATACTCTTTGCTTCTCTACCTCATATAACTACAACTATTTCTTCTATCCAGAATTATTATTCTCTGCCTTCTCCATTAATTGAAATCTTCCCCATCCTTTAGTCCAGTATAAGTTCTACTTTCCCCATAAATAAAATAGCTAATGCTTAGTGACTGCTTTCCTTAGTCTAGGCATTGTCTCATTAGATCTTCTTAAAAACACTAGAAAGAAGACAGTAGCATTATCCCTATTTTAAAGCTCAGGAAATTGCAGCAAAAATAAAATAAGTAAATTGCCCAAGGTCACACAGCTAGTGAACAGAGATGGAGCTAGGAAATTTGACACTTGAACTTGTTAGGAAATGAGCATGTTACAAATTGCAGTTCATCAGCCAAATCTGACTCATCATCTATTTTTATACACCTATGATCTAAGAGTAGTTTTCACATTTTTAAATAGTTGGGGGGGGGGTCAAAATAGTATTTCACAATCCACAAAAAAATACATGAAATTCCAATTTTTTAAAAAATATTTTTATTAGTTGTTGATGGATCTTTTTTTTTTTAATTTATATATATGCGGTGCTGAGGATTGAACCTAGTGCCTCACACTTGCTAGGCAAGTGCTCTACAACTGAGCCACAACCTCAGCCCCATGAAATTCCAATTTTAACTCAATAAATGACAGTTTTATCAAGAGACAGCCATGCACCAACTGTGACACTTTCATGCTACAACAGCAGAGCTGAGCACGTCTGGTATGGGTTTAAAAGCCCACAAAGCCTCAAATACTTAATGTATGGCCCATGACTAAAAGAGTTTAAAATATTGTTTTTAACCACTACATTATATTGCCTCTTTTTAAAAAAGACTTCCCTGATCCCTTAATTCCCCCAAGATGGAATAAAGTTTTCCCTTTGGTACATTTGCACCACATTTGCTTTTCTAAAGGGCAGTCTGTTTTTGCTTTACATTACATTTGACTTATTATTCTCCTTAGTAGACTGTAAATTCCTTGAAGATAAGCAGTAACCATTACTACTTTGTATTCTCGTTGGTGCCTCACTTATTGTTGGCAGTCAGGAAAGGTTTACTGATTTAAATAAAAATATGACAGTGCAAACTTTTAAGATTTCAATTATTTTCTTAACATGAACATGAATCATAAAAGTCAGAAATTAGGGCTACAGATGCAGGTCAGTGGTAAAGTGATGGCCTAGCATGCATGAGGCCCTGGGTTCAATCCCCAAGACCAAAGGGGGGGAAAAAAATAGAGGCTAACCTAGCCTGAATGGGTAAAAATGGGCATTCTCAACCACTTCTGTGAGATGTATAAATTGGTACATATAGTCTTTCTGGAGGGCAATTTTCTCTTGTTCATGTGATGCCTTAAAAATGTTCATTTCTTAGGATTTAGAATTATTCTGCTAGAAATTTATTTTAAGGAAATAAGTACGCTAGTAAGCAAAAAATGTACTCAGAGGAGTCAACACACTTAATGAGTTCACATTACATGCTGGGCACTGAGCTAAATCCTTAAATGCAGAATCTCACAACCCTTAGCACAAACACTATTATTAACCTTATTTCATGAATAGGGAAATTAAGACACAAGAGTAATTTTTGCAGGGTCAAGTGATTACAGATGACTTTTTTAAAATGAGAGGACTAGCTGATTTTAATTTTGCACATTATTAGTCTTCCACAAATCTACCACCGCAATGAGCGTGAATTACATGTATCAATTTTGGGGTGGTAAGGTAGCACAGATACAATACTTCTATTTTTCCTATTTTCTAAGAGTTCAAGAAAAATAACCCAGAACAAAACAAGCAGATGTCCTTTTTCATTTACTTTGAAAAGTACTGTAAAAAGTCATACTCTTAGACTTTAAAACAAGAACAGTATTTATTGGCTGGGGTTATAGGTCAGTTGGTAGAGCACTTGCCCAGCACATCTGAGGCACTCGGGTTCGATCCTCAGCATCACATAAAAATAAAATAAAAGTATTGTGCCCATCTACTATAAAAAATATTTTAAAAAAACAAAGAAAGAATAGTATTTACTTATAAAACAACAGTGAAAACAACATTCTGGATCCTCTTACCCACACAGCATCACTCAGCCAGGTGTTATGGTTTTGCCAATATGGAAGTAGACAGAAAATTATGTTGTCACTTATACTGAACAAGACTTTGGACGCAAGGATGGCATTTTAAACAGGAAACATTCCATCCTCTCTACAAATCTCCAGAGGTTTTACATACCCTCAAATCACTTAAGTTTGGGGCTTTTCTGGAGACAAGCTGTTTTACCTCTACTCTAAAAACACTAGTCAAGGTTCTCCTTCCATATCTACATTAAATCAACGCAAATACTTCCAAGTCAGATCTAATCAATGCTAAGATGGCCATGTAAAAATTCCCCAAAGCCACACCTTACCTCTTCAGGAACAATAATTAATGGATACTTGTCCTCAGATAAAAAGTTGAAAATAACCCATACTTTAAATGCATCTTCTTCTGTAATAAGCAGAGGGCTCTTTGTGAGGTTTTTTTTCACACAGAGGGTCCAACACATTCTATTGAATTCAATCTTGTCAAAGTTATCTTGGACCTAAAAAGGAATGAGAAAAAACTCCAATGAAACAGTTCAAAATAAGGGTTATATAAGCCAAGTAAAATAGAAGGAAAAGCCTACTTCAGGATTCTATGTTAATCAATTCAACTAACCAACAGCCATACCCCACATATTTGCTCTAAGTAATGCACTTTCAATTGTTCAACTGAGAACATTATGTTTATCCTGACACTGAAGCAATGTCTGTCCACATCACTAACTGGGCAGTTATTGTTTGGGTTTTTTTCATGAATACACATTAGCTTTTATATAGATTAGCAACCTAATAAAAAGGAGGAGCTGAGAATGTCATTACTCCGTGTTAGCCACATCAGAAACCTCATCTATACCTATATGGTCAAAGAAGAGTCCATCTTTTAGAAACTCTAAAAAGATAGCCTTGTCATTCTTCACTCATTCATTTAAGCAATCAATATTCCCTCAGCATTTACTATGAGCCAAATATTATGCTATAAATTAAGGATACAAAGAAATAAGAACTTGATCTTAGAATGTGCTCTTAGAATGTACACAGTTTATTAAAGAAAACTTATGTAGCTGGGCGTGGTGGTGCACAACTTTAATACCAACAGTTTGGAGGCTGAGGCAAGAGGATCACAAGTTCAAAGCCAGCTTCAGCAATTTAGCTAGGCCCAAAGCAACTTAGCAAGACCCTGTCTCAAAAAAAAAAAAAATAAAAAGGGTGGAAGTAATTCAATACCCAATACCAAAAACAAAACAAAACATAGGTAAAAGATGAAGTATAATGTAACAGTGTATGATTCAAAAGATTTTTTTCACTATTCAACAAGTAAAGTTCAGAGAGCAATTATTATTTGCCAGGAAAAGTGCAAAGACACCCAACATAATACTAGTCCATGTCTCCGAGGAACATAAAAACAAGTACTATGATAAACAGAGAATTCCATGGGAACACAGAAGAACTAATTCAATCTTAAGATTCAAGGGAAGATTTGCAGAATGAGTGCTATGACAACAAAGCTGAGTCCCAAAGGTCCTTCAAAAGTCCAACAAATTAAAAATGGGATGTAGGGTATTCCAGGTAGTAAAACAGAATGTGAAAAAGTCCAGAGGTAAAGACAACTATGGTTAGTTTGGAAGGACCATAGTCAGTTTAATGTGAAGGGTGCACTTGATGCTGAAGGGTGATATCAGAAAGGCTCCTTATAAACGCAGCGAACAGAAACCATCTTGAGTTCCTTTAAATAGAAAAGAAATTTATTGGAAAAACAATTGGGCAACCTCTTAGATCCAAAATGAGAGCTGGAAAATGGAGATGCTGATATCAGGTTACTACCAAGGCAGGGTAGGGAACCAGAACTATATCCAAAAACAATCACAGAAGAGTCTGGGAGAGAGGTGAGGATACCACCATTGTCCACAGGGGTTGTCACGCCCTTCTTGATTCTCTTGCCACTCTCTGCAGTGGGTCTCCACTAAGCCTGGGCCACATTCCTGTGCTCTGGCTGCCAAGAAGCAGGAAAAATGATGATCTAAACTTTTCAGCTCTCAATGTGAGACAGGTTCTGTTTCCCACCAAGACCTTACTGGATTTCCCAAACATAAGAAAAACTTTTAAATGCTAGAAAGACCCAAAACGGCAAATGTCCACTACATGGAACATAATGAAAGGTGAAGCTAGAGAGGTAGATGAAGACTGGGTCATAAAGAGCCTGATCATTCAACTTTCTACTGATGGAGCGGGTGGACCCACAATCCTCATTTTCAAAGCCATATTTGGGGACAATATGAAAGATGTCCTTGAGGAGGCAGGAATGGCCGGCAGGACATGAGCTTTTCATTTTTAGAGAGAGATGAATAAAAAGTGCTGTGTACTCTGTAGGGAAGAAATCACTAGCTGGCTGCAGGGAGAAGCTTCTTTTGATCTCTAACTAGAATTTCTGGTTGGCAAACCAGTCCCCCCACCCCCACCCCGCAGGAGTAGGAAGATCTCCTTTTGTTTTGCCTTCAGAACCTCATCTCTGTGGCACTATTTTCCATGCCTACATCACACACAACTGACTCGATAGAGGGAAAGCAGCAAGGGCAACAGTAATTGCTGCTGCTAAAGGTAAATATCATCCCTATTTCACAAATCAGGAAATACAAGTTTGGAAAAACTGAGTACTTTTATCAGGTTCACATGGCTAGTAAATGTCAAAACCAGAGTTTCAACAAAAGCTCAAATGCCAGTTTTTTTCAAACTGCTGGCTAAACTCAATAGATGGAGACCATCTATGTCATAGAGGACACCTATGCAGAACTAGTATCAAAGGCCACTTCCACCAGCTCCACCCACACCGTGAAAACACTAAGTGGAAGATATGCCACACAGGGGAAATGACATGTTCATGAAAGCATATCTTGCTCTGAGGAACAAGAAGTGATTCTATGTGGAATATGTGGTGAATCATAGAATTCCCAAAAGGGAGGAGCTAGAAAAGTGGCTGCAAAAGCAAAGAAAGACCAAATCATGAAGGATTTAATAATTCTAACAAACAGCCTGTACAAAAACACAAGTTTAAGGGTTTTAGAACAGAAAACAAGCAGTTCATAGGCAGCCCAGGTTAGTACTTTGTAGAAAAGATGATATTTAAAGTGAACTTTAAGATATAGAGATGGTTCTAAAGGGCAGGAGAAGAAAAGCTATGAGCCAAGGCACAAAGGCAACAGGTGCCACCTGGGTATAGGGAATGGTGAGTAGCCAAGTTGGGTTGACAAGGCTGCAGGAATAAGCTAAAGGCAGATGTATGCTATGCTTTGGAATTGACTTTATTAACACAGGAGGAAATCAGCAAAGATTTTTGAGTAAAGAGCAACAATTAGTTCTATGTTTTAGGAAAATTATACAGACAAAATTACACTAGGTGGGTTTCTGTAGGTAAACGACCATATAAAGAGGAAAAAAACAAAAAGATCAGAAAATTACTGCAAAACTACCAGGCAAAAGGAATTAACGACCCCAACTAGAGTAAGATCTTGGTAAAAATGGATAGAAGGGATGAATATAAAACAGATAAGATTTGGGGACCAGATCAGTGTCTTGACAAAACAAAGGAGAGGGCTGGGGATGTAACTCAATGGTACAGTACTTGCCTGGTATGTGCAAGGTACTGGGTTCAAACTCCAGCACTGCAAACAACAACAAGGGGAGAGGGAAAGGGAAAGTGTTCAGTTATGGACATCCTGAAGTTCTGCCAAGACATTTAGATACAGGTATCCAAAGACAACCAGAGAAGTGACATGCAACCTATAAGAGAGGCAGATTTATGAATCAAATGCAAAATGAAAATGACTGAAGTCACAACTGCCAATGAGATCACTGAAAGAGAACATAAGGCAAGAAAAGAAATGAGGTCAAAAATGGAACTTCAGCGGCTGGAGTTGTGGCTCAGCGGTAGAGGGCTCATCTAGCACGGGCAAAGCCCTGGGTTCAATCCTTAGCACCACGTAAAAACAAAATAAAAAGGTATTGTGTCCAACTACAACTAAAATTAAAAAAAAAAAAAAAATAGAACTTCAAGGTACACCTGAAGTTCCATTTTTACAAAGGGAGAGGAGGAAGAGTAATTATAATGAAAGAATCAAAGTGGTAGAAAACAAGAAACAATGAAAACTGTGAGAAAATAGTTAAGAAAAAAATTTTATTAATAGTGCCCAATGCCACAGAGAGGTCATAGGAAAAGGGAGTTTAAAAAAGACCACTATGGGCTGGGGATGTGGCTCAAGTGGTAGCATGCTCGCCTGGCATGCATACGGCCAGGGTTCGATCCTCAGCACCACATACAAACAAAGATGTTGTGTCCGCCGAAAACTAAAAAATAAATGTTAAAAAAAAAAATTTTCTGTCTCTCTTTCTCTCTCTCTCTTAAAAAAAGACCACGATTTTGCAATTCTGAGATCACTAGTTACCTCCAGACTGCAATTGGGGCCGGAAACCAATTATATTCTCCATATGTCAGATTGCCTAAAAAAGAATAGTAGCTTTTTGAACCAAGTTCACTATATCTTACTTATTTTTAATAAGCTGTCTGGCTCATTTCTTCTCTAAAGCCTAATCGACTACTTTGGTTTATTCTTGTTCAAAGGTATATTAAATGATGGAATTTACACTTTTAAAAAAGTACAATATTGCCAGGCACAGTGGCACACACCTGTAATCCCAGCAACTCAGGTAGCTGAAGCAAAAGGACAACCTCAGCAATTTAACAAGACCCTATCTCAAAATAAAAAATAAAAAGAGATGGGGTGCATGCAGTTCAGTGATAAAGTGCCCCTGGGTTCAATCCCTAGTACTATAAAAAGTACAATATCAATTCATATAAGAAAAGTCCACAGCAACCTTCATACTTGATGGTGAAAAAACAAAAGCCTTTCCTTATAAAGTTCCTCAAGGGGGGCGCCCACTCTTGCCACTTCTCAACACAGTACTGGAAGTTCTAACCAGAGCAATTACACACTAAAAGAAGTAAGAAGCATACAAACTGGAAAGGAAGAAGTAAAATTACCTTTTTGTGTATGACACGATCTTATATGTAGTAACCCCTAAAGTTCCACACAAACACCACTAGAATAAATGAATTTAGCAAAGTTGCAGGACACAAAAATCAACACCCCCAAATCCGTTACATTTCTATATACTTACAATGAATACACCCAAAACAAAAATAAGAAAGTATCAGTTACTGAACAGAGACACTTCACATAAGAAGAAATACAATCAGTCAACAAATATATGAAAAAATGTTCAACAACTCTAGCAATTAGAGAAATGCAAATTAAAACTTCACTGAGATTTCCTCTCACTCCAGTCAGAATGGAAATTATCAAGAATACAAGTAACAATAAATATTGGCAACGATGTTGGGGGAAAAGTTACACTCATACATTCCTGGTAGTACCACAAACTAGTACAACCATTCTGGAAAGCAATATGGAGATTTCTTAGAAAACCTGGAATGGAACCACAATTTGAC